AAGCCAGGACGGCACAGGGGACTTGTCGAGGCAGCAGAGGAGTCTACTTCTCTCTGATCAGTTCCACCCGTGAAGGGGAAGCCGCATCTCCCCCTCCCTATTAGCTGTCCTTGTGGGCTATTCCTCCGAGGGGGGGGGGGGCTGATGATTCTAGCACTCAGCTGCCCCCTCATGGTTCCTTCACTGCCATGGAAAGTGGTGTTCTGTCTCCATGAAGTTTTCAAGTACTCTAAATACCAGCTTCGGATGGATTTATACAATGTTTGGGGGACGGACACAGTAGAAAAGAATGACAGTGAGTATATTTCAAAATGCCTTGTCTAAGTTTATCTCTGGAGAAGGAGATACAAAGGGGGATTTGTAGTGAAAGATTTGTATTTATTCATGTTAGCAAACTATGGATAAGCTTAAAATGGGAATAATTTGGGTAAAACTGTGAGCTGGATTTGGGGCCTGTTGACATGTGTTTTTGAGGACAAAGGAAGATGGGGGAAGGTGAGAGCATGTCTTGATTTGCATTCAACTTATCTAGCTACAGTGGTTGGGGAAACCTAAGGTCGGAGGTGTCTGTGATATTTGGGCTGCCAATCAATGAGCTCCAAATGGGAGGATCTGATAACTCCTCCCATTGTCAAAGAGTATAAACACAGACACACACGCGGTGTTCAGCCTCTTTCCTCTGGCTGGCTCACGTGCAGGTAAATTCGGGATCCCAAAGATTAACTGTATTGAATTTGTACTGTATTGATTGTATTGTATTGTCATATTACCATTAAAGTAGATTAACGGTTACTTGGTAGCGTCTGGATTCCTTCCTGTATTATAACCAGCTTGATAGGGACGCGCGGAGATTTGAAAAGCGGACTAGATATCCCTTTAAATCTCTAACAACTCCACCAGAGGAATTTCCTCCTCCACGGCGTTGCACGGAGGAATGTCAGTGGAAGATATTTGCACTACTGCATCTTGGTCTTCCCCCTGTTCATTTATTCATTTTTATTTGAGAGATGTCTCCCATTCCTCTCTGACAAACCCTGTACTGGGTGTCCTGTCGGAGTGAGTGAAGTCAGGGAGCCAGCTGGGCGCTCTCCTACCTGTCTGACACGCAGAGAGCTGCTGTCCCCCCTCTATGATCGCTGGGCAAGGTGTGACCTTCGTCTCTACTTTCTCAAAGTGGCCGGTATGTATTGTTCCCAGCCTTCACCCCGTCGGGAAGATAGGCATGTTTTGCTATGTTCCAGGGACGGTGATGCGCCATTACGCATGACACAACAGGCAGGGGGTGTTATTGAGCAGGTGTGTCTTGGCTTCTAGTGCCGGGCGGACCCAGTGGGGCGCAGACTACATCATGCTTCGCCCTTAACCCAATAGCAATAGCCTTAGAGGGCGAAGCCATATACGAAATAGAACTGAGGTTACCTACTGTAACCCCAGCTTCTATGAGTAAATGGCGCAGCCCTCTAAGTGCTGGGCCCCACGAATAGCTGAAGAAAAGTTATTTTGTATGGGAGCAGATTGCGGGGCCTCCGTCCTATTTATACCGGAAGGAAGCCCGAGGGTGGGGCCCACCTTGCGGGTGGGCGTGGACTACAAGTTTTCAGTGCTGCGCGGGGGTGCAGGGGGATTACCCAATAGCGATAGCCTTAGAGGGCTGCGCCATTTACTCATAGAAGCTGGGGTTACAGTAGGTAACCTCAGTGTTTGTGCCAGAAAGCAACCACAACAACTTATCTCAAGTACAACAATAATTCTGATGAAATAATACTCCATCAGTACGTGTGTGTTTTTATTTCATGGAGGAAAAATATTTTCTTTTGCAATGAATAGCAAAACACTTTTTCCTTAAAGAGCTTGTGACAGCATCCCAACAACTGTTGTGCAATGAAATATTGGGCTACTAGTAATCTCGAACCGTCAGTTCAAAAAAGAAAAAGCGATACCGTTCTGTTAAATATCAATAATTTCGAACATCGCGGGGAAATTCCTTCGACTCATTTTGAAGTTTTGGGGGAAGCCGGAAGTGACGTCAATGCGGGAACGCTTCACTGTGCGGCGAGAGAGCCAAACACGGACAAAGTGTGTTGTCATGCGTAGAAATGGTGAATTACTGAGTTTAGTCACGTTAATAACGTTTTAATGAAGTTGACTACAGTATATTCATATTTGTCAGTGCTTTCATGTCAATTCGGCGAACATAAACATAAATGATCGTGGTGAAGATGATGATTACATTAGGATTACAAATCGGTAGTGAGAGCTACTGAATTTCCTCCCGTAGGATGTGATATAAAAACAAATCGATTATTTTTGTAGTTGTAAACTCAAGTGGATGAAACTACATGTATTAGTGCTTTCATGTCAATTCGGCGAACATATGATACATTAAATGATCGTGAGAATGATGATTAAAAATCGTTTGTTTGTGCCGGTCTGCATTTCCTGATGAGAAAACAAACCGATGCTTTTTGTAACATGGATTAAACGTGTGGTTTTTTTCACCACAATGTTGGGGAAATTAATGGATAAAATGCACGGATTATTATTATTATTCCCACTCCGATCGGGACACCAGGTCCACCGTTTCCCCGCAGCGAGGCTCCCCCGTTGACAGTTTACGAGGACTGGCCATCGGGACGAATCCCGATGGGCCGGTACCGAAGTGGGCCGGTCGGATAAGTCACTAGCACATCCCCCATAGGCGGCGCGTGAGGCTCAGGTTTGGGAAGGCTACATAACTTTTTTACCTGACGCTGCCGCCTCCGGCGTCTATAGAAAAGAGATCAACTCAGTGTGCGGAGTTTAGATCTCTCAAGTCATATTACAGGATAAAGGAAATACAGTTTAAACTGCCGTATGCAGAGAAGACGCCGACGTGTCGCACTTATCATTCATATTACATCATCAATCAGATCATCGATCATATAATATCATAATATATTATATATTTCCTTATCTGCCGTATCTGGCCGTGCAACACTTACAGTGTCACATACTGTATGCAGAAGTATTATTTTAAGCAACACATTATGTTGACGAAACACTCGAGTCAAATGTAATTAAGTCAGATCCACTCGTGTCTTAGACGTGAACGCGCTCTCAGCTGGAGAGAGAAACCCTGGCTTGATTGACCGAGTTGATAACCAGCATCGTAGGACCGCTTAGCGAGATCTCGTTTGTTAGTTTGTTGTCGTTAGTTTGTTTGTTACTCAAACATATCCAGGGTCTGTTGAACTGGCTTCGTAGTACAGGGCACAGGTGGCTAGCAGCGCTAATGTCAAAGACACAGACATTGCATTATATTTGTATTTTACGAGGATGCAGTGACACAAATATTTACATATTTACATTTACTATCTACAGCCCCCGCCGCCCCTGACATCCCCCGTTGACAATTTACTAGCGGTACCGAAGTGGGCCGGTCGAGAGTCCCGGGATGATTTTTAGTCCCATTCCACCACTGGCTACATGACCGTATGATCGCCCATATTGATGCACCTAATTCCTAAACTTCTAACAGATACAACATAAACCGATCCTTCAGCCTCATATGAGCTCTCAGACACGTTCAAAATTAAACTGTCATCGCTGTCTGAGCTTGCTGCTATGTGCTCCATTGTGCGTTTACATGCAGATGCTGGGATCCTGAACGGTGCAGCTGGAGCGCTGTGCCCGCAATGACGTCACACATAATTTGGCGGGACTTGAAGAATCCCCGAGAAGATCCAGAAAATGGTCAACATTGAAGGGCAGATTAATGGTTATCAAAGTACAAATATCCAAAATCAGTTCAGTAACGGTTTTCAAGGGGACAATATTTACTCAAATTGATGGGTTTGGATGATGGGGGAAACTCGTGTCACAGGCTCTTTAAGGGTCCATGTGACAGCTACCGTTGCTTGGAAACAGGTTGTGAATTGCAATATGGGGAAAAACATTTAATGAATTTACTGTATATCAGATCACAAGCAAGATATGAAATAGCTAGCTAATGCACCCTGTGGTCCATCGCCTTACTTTCAACCACTAGGAGACTACCTCGCCTGAAGGAGAGCGTTTAGCAGTTTAGGAGATGGACCTGCAGTTAGCGGCTATTGCAACACGAATTACGTCAGCGCAAAGCCCAGCATCTGGGTGTCAAAGCGAGCCAGTGGAGAAGCACATTTTATGTTGCTAGTAGTTTGAGTATCTTCAGCTGCCTACTGAAACTCCTTCTGCTTCTCTGTAGTCGCCTAGCAGCAAGGAATAAAGATGAGTCATGAGTTTTAAAGTTTTTTTCCCCCTTCATGCCCCCCTCCGGTATTTTTACCTGAAATGTACAAAATATCAACGAGAAATTGGCACATATATATATATATATATATATATATATATATAAAAGACATACTTTAAGGGCACTAGACACATTAAAAGCTTACAAACCATAATACCCATACATATTTGCTGACTTTAAGTGCAACAGGTATGATTCTGCATCTAGGAATCAGGTATTCAATGAACACTTTGAGATTCAGAAAGAACTCAATTGGAAAAATAAGTGAAATATGAGGCCCAAACCAAAATGTCTTAATACAACAAATTATTTTTGATTAACCTTTATTTGAAATATTCTACACAAATTAAACAGTTAATTGTCTGATTACTTTTTTAGGTTTTCAGCTTGACTTATTGACAGATAGCAAAGGCTAGTATGTATCCAATGGAGCAGAGTTGAAAATGTAAGTCACTTGATTGGTAAGTCAAAAAAAAAAATGTGATCTACAAAAACATTTAGAACAATTGTGAAAGTGATAAATTGTTCCACCCATTTGCTGTTTGAATACTTGGACATCACTGTGAGCTGTTGGAAACTGTTGTAGGCATTCTTTTATGTATCAACACAATTTAAGCTAAACAAATGATACTCAAATTCAGATGAATAGTATTGAGGATACAAATATTAGAAGTTGCAGCCCTACACTGCAAATATAAACTGCTGAAAAAAGTTTACTTTGTGAACTCACCTTGACCACGTTGGCTTTGTGCCGCTCCAGCACCTGTATGGTCTGAGACGTCTTTGGATCGATGATAAGAATACTGGAGTGACATCCCTGAGCTATCAGCCCCTGCCAACCCCTACAGAAAATGAGAGCCGGAGAGAATGATAGGAAGAGGAGTCAAAGATAAATTATGAGGTAAGTAAAAAGGAGCTGAAATTTGTTCCCAACACAGACTAAACACAGAGGGTCTGTGAGTGCGCGGGCATTGAGCCAAGACCACAAGACCCCAAGAAGAACATTTCAACTTTCATTTTATTTTACGAGTGTTGGGAAAATACTGAATGTACTCTTTCAAGGACAGAGTTGCATATGATAACAATGGCCCAAGTGTATAACAGTGTATATGACAAGATGTATGATTACCTAGTAAAAGAAGCATGCCACCCTGTTTTAAAGCGTATGATAAGCTATGTGGCAACGATTAACATGATGATTCAGTCTCTAGGGAGATATGACAAAGATGATCATTTCTGACATGTGCCTCAGCTAATCTGAACAAAGCATTGTATACAGCTTTGAACCGTTGTTTCTCCATCGTGTGACTGTAAAACACCCACACTTCCATTCTTGCAAGGGTAATAAATAAGTATCCTGTTTTGAAACTCAAGCCGGTGACTAGTGACATTTTTCTAACAATGAGCAAAAAATCTATGACCATCAATCCACTCCATGTCTAGATATTTTACATCTTTCAGTATGCATGCGTGATGGGACTACAGAAAGGTCACAAATCAATTCCACATACAAAATGTAAACTCCAATATTAAATATGTTATTTTGTCTGGACTTTCAAAGTACAACAGACTGATACAACTCAGAGCAAAGGAAGTGTGCACATTAGCTGCAAGTGAAGACAATTTACAACTTAAACCATTAATAATCTTCCATATCATTGCCATGTTTTCTACATGTATGAGGAAATGATATCCACTGAAAGCGTTTTATTAAAGATGAATGGTAAGTCTCACTTGTTATCGCATAGATTAATACATTAATCATTGCCAGCTTCATGTATGGGGAATACAACTTGGTGACAATTGGATTCCTACACCTTTTAAAAACACTTTTAAAGAATTTTCTTGGTGCATTTTCAATCTTTTTCCATGACTTTGCACAATTTTTTATTTGAATTTTTGGATTTTATGATATATGTTGCATCGTTGGAGGAGCTCGGGTCATAAGATTTCCATTGCCATTTCTACACTGTAGCATATGTGCATATGACATTAAAACCTTTGAATCTCCAACAATCCAAATTTGTTCGATATTTGACACTGACATAGAGATCTTCATTGTATTATATATTTAGCATTGATGTCATAGAGGTGTTGTTAATAGTATGCCACCTAATATAAATACATAGGGAGGATAAAGCATAAGAAACACATGACATTTCAGTAAAGAGCAGTCCAGTACAACACATCTGCAACCTCATTAAATAACATATAATAAGGTTTAATATGTATCGTGTTTTTATCACAGGCCCGGAAATGCAATAACGCATAGGAAGTCACAGTGAAGTCGTGCTCCCTGCTGGAATACTATGGGAAGGTAAGGGTTACAAAATGCATCAGGCCCAGCAAACTGTCACATCACATGACACAGGATGCCCTAAGTGTTGATATGTTCTATGTTGGGAAAAATCGGCATAATAATTCTTGCAGGTAGTAATAAAAGGGAACAATGTAACGTGATGCATATATAATATAATTAGCATTTATCAAACATTAAATGACATACGCACGCATTGACTAAATGAAGAAGCTACATAAAGATGCTAACGGCAGATGTGCAGTACTCACCAGTCTACAGCGGTTTTATTCTGCAAATGGAGAGTGCCAGTCAGAGTCCGAGCCGCGAGTTTGATGTTGACAGTGTACGGAATCATTGTTGCTACGCAGTATTTTTGCTACATTAATATTTGTTGACCAAAAGCTGCTAAAGTTGTTTAGCTTCAGCGCTTCGGCTCTGTTGTTGAGATTTCTAACAGGAAGTAAAACGGTGTTTCTGAATAGAACGTCGTGTAGGAACAAATCCCAGCGACGAAAGGTTCCAAAGCTGAGGCTTCACCTTTGATCATGATCACACAATGTCAAATGTGTTTATAGAGAGCACACGTAAACAATGCTATGATGTGTTATATTCTTTCACTTTTTTATATATTTCCAATATTGCCACAACAATGTAATTGTGTCACTGTTAGCATTTAACCAATGTTTAGTTGTAGAAAATAATTCAATAATTTAGTTTAAATGTAATGTTAGTTAGGCTATTACATATCGATTACATATACAACCCAAAATGTCCTTGTTTTAAAAATATTGCAGTTTCTTGTCATAAACATCTTCATAAAACCCAATTTGTTTCTATACGCAGAAGTGACATTCACTTATATATTGATATTCATCCCATCATTTTAAAATGGTATAATAGCCTGGAAATGTTTTAAAACATCTAATGATAACCTTTTCCTCCATAAACTGTCATCATTAATTACGCGCCCCCTGCGTGAACGGCATCAGACTCCGATGATCTCGTGCCCTCTGAGTGCATCAGAGTCTGAAGAGTAAACAATCTACACACAGTGGAAGTTGATGACAATATATTGTTGTCTGATGGGCTTGGAAACACACCCCTGAGAGAACAGTGCAGCGGTTTAAACCATCAATCAATCAATCAATGTTTATTTATATAGCCCAATATCACAAATGTTACATTTGTCTCAGTGGACTTTACAGTTTGTACAAAATATCAGTATGACAATACGACACCCTCTGTCCTTAGACCCTCACATCGTACAAGGAAAAACTTCCGGAGAAAACCCACAGTTTAAAGGGAAAAATGGGAGAAACCTCAGGGAGAGCAACAGAGGAGGGATCCCTCTCCCAGGACGGACAGACGTGCAATAGATGCCGTGTGTAAATTGAAAAGATAATACATTTGCAACATAGGTAGTCCAAATGTTTGGAAATGCATGTGTGTATAATAGGAAGATGAATCCACGAGGATATCCATCCAGGACCTATGATCCAGGACCACAGCCACGACTCAAGATCCAGGGCTCGCGATCCAGGACAGAGGAGCGCAGGATCATCCATGACTCCGGATCCCGGCGTATATAGACACCAAAAAGAAAGACATTTGGGGAAGCTGGGTTAATCGGAACATGAGAGTACACAGGTATAGACAGAGAGAAGGAAGAAGTAAGATGTCCCCCGACAAACTAAGCCTATATCAGCAAAACTAGGGGCTGGATCTAATCAGCCCTAACTATAAGCTTTATCAAAAAGGAAGGTCTTAAGCGCACTCTTAAAAACGGATAGGGTGTCTGCCGCCCGAACACAAACTGGAAGCTGATTCCACAAATGTGGAGCTTGATAAGAAAAGGCTCTGGCTCCCATTGTACTTTTAGAGACTCTAGGAACAACCAACAACCCTGCATTCTTGGAACGCAATGCCCTAGTAGGACAGTAGGGTATAATGAGTTCTTTAAGGTAAGATGGCGCCTGCCCATTAAGGGCTTTGTAGGCGAGAAGAAGAATTTTAAATTCTATCCTGTGTTCTATAGGGAGCCAGTGTAAGGCAGCCAGAACAGGAGTAATGTGGTCCCTTTTCCTAACTCTGGTTAGTACACGAGCCGCAGCATTTTGAATCAGCTGAAGCGACTTGACTGACTTCTTGGTACACCCTGATAATAAAGAGTTACAATAATCCAGCCTTGAAGTAACAAATGCATGGACTAGTTTCTCTGCATCGTTTTGAGGCAAGATATGCCTGATTTTTGCAATGTTACGTAGATGGAAGTAGGCGGTCCTTGAAATTGATTTTATGTGGGCGTTAAAGGATAAATCCTGATCAAATATAACACCAAGATTCCTTACAGTCTCACTGGAGGCCAAATTAATGCCATCCATAGTTAGTATATCCTTAGATAATTTGTTTCGTAGATTCTTCGGGCCAAGTACAATAACTTCAGTTTTGGTCGTGTTTAACATCAAAAAGTTTAAGGTCATCCACGTTTTTAAGTCCTTAAGGCAGTCTTGAATTTTATTTAGATGATTAATTTCATCAGGCTTGATTGATAAATATAGTTGAGTATCATCCGCATAACAATGAAAGTTTACAGAATGATTCCTTATAATATTGCCTAACGGAAGCATATATAATGTGAACAAAATAGGTCCGAGCACTGAGCCCTGTGGCACTCCATGGCTAACTTTGGTTTGCGTGGAAGATTCATCATTGACACGTACAAACTGAGAGCGTTCAGATAGATAGGACCTAAACCAGTCTAAAGCAGTTCCCTGTATGCCAACTAAGTGCTCTAGTCTTTGCAATAAGATATCATGGTCGATAGTATCAAATGCAGCACTGAGATCGAGCAAAACAAGAATAGAGACACGTCCCTTGTCAGAGGCTATTAGAATGTCATTTGTGACTTTAACCAGAGCTGTCTCTGTGCTATGATGTGTTCTAAAGCCAGACTGAAAAGCTTCAAATAAATCATTGTTTTTTAAGTAATCACACAACTGTTTTGCGACCGCTTTCTCAAGAATTTTTGAGAGGAACGGAAGATTAGAAATAAGTCTATAGTTGGCTAAAACCTCTGGATCGAGGTTGTGCTTTTTAAGAAGCGGTTTTATCACTGCTACTTTGAATGATTGTGGAACATAGCCTGATAATAAAGACATATTCATAATATTTAATAAATAAGTGCTAATTAATGGAAAAACTTCCTTCAACAGCTTAGTTGGAATTGGGTCTAACATGCACGTTGATGGTTTAGAAGAGAGAATCATTGAATTTAATTGTTCAAGGTTTATGGCTGAAAAGCATTCTAGTTTACTATCTAGTGTAATATTAGAACTTACGTTTCCGGGAGCTGTTGATAACACTATACTGGTCAAAGGCAAGAGGTCATTAATTTTGTTTCTAAGAGTAACAATTTTATCGTTAAAAAAGCACATAAAATCATTACTACTGAGTGCTATGGGAATAGAAGGCTCAATCGAGCTGTGGCTTTCTGTCAGCCTGGCTACAGTGCTGAAAAGAAATCTTGCATTATTCTTATTCTCATCTATTAATGAAGAGTAGTAAGCTGCTCTCGCTTTACGCAATGCTTTCTTATATTCATTGAGAGTAATATGCCAAATTAAACGAGATTCTTCAAGTTTAGTAGAACGCCATATCCTTTCAAGTTGTCTCGACTTTTGCTTTATTTTGCGGGTTTCGGCATTATGCCATGGAGCTAGTCTATGTTGTTTTATTTTCTTCTTTTTCAAAGGAGCAACAGAGTCTAATTTTATTCGCAGCGCATCTGTAGCACTATCAACAACATGATCAATTTGGGGTGGTGTACATTTTGTATAAGTTTCCTCCCTTACATGCAGACATGCTATCGAGTTAAGTATTGGTGGAATCTCTTCCTTAAATTTGGCTATAGCACTAACAGATAGGTTTCTGCTGCAGGAGCTTTTGACTAATGCTTTGTAGTCTAGTAACAGTACTTCAAAAGTTACTAAGAAATGGTCGGATAAAGCAGGATTATGCGGTTCGACTAATAGTTGCTCAATTTCAATACCATAAGTCAGAACAAGGTCGAGAGTGTGATTATAGCAGTGGGTTGGTTTATTTACACTCTGACAAAAACCAACAGAATCTAATATAGAGTTAAATGCAACAGTAAGGCTATTTTTATCATCGTCAACATGAATATTAAAGTCACCTACGATAATTACTTTATCTGTTTTAAGAACCAAAGTTGATAAAAACTCAGAGAATTCAGATAAGAATTCTGAATAAGGACCTGGTGCACGGTACACTGTAACAAATAAGATTGGCTGCAAAGTTTTCCAGGTTGGATGCGTAAGACTAAAAACGAGACTTTCAAAGGAGGTATAATTTAATTTTGGTTTAGTATTGATAAGTAAACTTGAGTCAAAGATGGCTGCAACTCCACCTCCTCGGCCCGTGCCTCGGGCAATATGAGTATTGATATGGCTGGGTGGAGTGGCCTCATTTATGCTGACATATTCTTCATGTCTCAACCAAGTTTCAGTGAGACAGCATATATCAATATTATAATCTGATATTAAATCATTTACCAATATTGCTTTAGATGCTAGAGATCTTGTGTTTAAGAGACCACATTTAATATTCCTGTTTTGTTGCACTGTAGTAGTTGTTACATTTACTTTGATTAGGTTATTATGTATGACACCTCTATTAGGTTTTACCTTAACTTGTCCTTGGGCAGACACACACACCGCTAATATTGGGTATTTTATTGGGTTCGGGATTCCTATGGATGACTGCCTAGGAGAGAGCGCAGAGAAGCGTGTAAGACTGCGACTCCGCCTCCTGGTCTCAACTCCAGTTTGTCATGGATTAAGTCCACAAAGCCCTGAAATGTTTGCCGAAATGAGATCGGCACCTTCCAAAGTAGGATGAATGCCGTCTCTCTTAATCAGACCAGGTTTTCCCCAGAAGGCTGTCCAATTATTTACGAAGCCCACATTGTTTGCTGGGCACCACCAAGACAACCAGCGCTGAAATGATGACATGCGGCTATACATGTCATCATTGATCAGATTGGGGAGGGGACCAGAGAAGATTACGGTGTCCGACATTGTCTTAGCATAACTACACACCGACTCCACATTAAGTTTGGTGCATTCTGATCGGCGTATACGAACATCATTACCACCGACGTGAATAACAATCCTACTGTATTTACGTTTATTTTTAGCCAGCAGTTTAAGATGCGCCTCAACGTCGCCCGCTCTGGCCCCCGGAATGCATGTGACTGTGGAGGCTTCGGTCTCTAATTTCACGTGTCTCATAATAGAGCTACCAATAACCAGAGTTGGCTTCTCAGCGGGTGTCTCGCTGAGTGGGGAATATCTGTTAGATACGTGAACGGGTTGGTGGGGACCTGCGGGTTTCGCGTTATGCCCCTTCTGAACAGTCACCCAGTCTCCCTGCTGCTCGGGAGTTGCCGGGGGACGGCTAATA